AGTTGAAAATATCTTCTGATTTATAATCTTTAAGAATATTCCTTAACTCTACTCTCATTTGAGGGATTTGTTCTATGGGTGCACTTTGAGATTCTCCATGTTTATTATATTCCTGAATTGAGTATCTTTGCTTAAAATTATGGAGCCAACCAGATGATGCTTTAAAGTTACTTACTTGTGAAGAGATTGAATGTAAATCTAAAAAAGGCATTTCAGGTATATTTATTTATCTTTGATTATCTATGAGTCGAGAAGCGGAACTATTTCAGCTATATAAATGCCTCATTACCCCACAACAGACTCTGTACTTGTATATTTTATCTGAGCTAATACATTTGTATTAAATTAATATAATTATAATATTAGAAACCTGTTCAGCAAATGAAACCTGCTTTCATACCAAAAATTAGAAAAATGTGCAAGGAATTTATATCGAGTTTTGTTGATCGCACTTATCAGAATATAGTAGTACCGGAAAAATTTATACATAATGGATCTTGGAAATAATCGGAAGAAAAACTTTCTAATATTGTGAAAGAGGTTTTTGTTGTTCTGGAAGATATTTGGATTAATCCTGTATTTAATTATGATCTCGCAAAATCATTAAATGAAGGAACCTATCAAAAGCGCTGCTAGTGCTGATAGAAAAGGCAAAGGTGAAGTAGGAAGAAAACCGGATATAATGTATGCGGTAAAATACCATGATGTATTCTTTGAAATTATGTATCTCGAGTGCTTGCGGTTATATTGCAATCAACAAAAAAAACAGATGATGAAATAAAATTATGGCATGAATGTAACGATGGTATGTATTATGCCCGCAAAGCTGTCAAACCGGAAAAAGAATAATTTGGGATAATTGGTGTGCAGGTAGCTGGGAATATGTTACATTTAAATGTTCTCATCAGGGATAAAACAAATGTCCATAGATATTATAATATACAATTGGCCAAAATTCCTGTACGAGTATCGGATGAAAACATTGTAACTAATTTTATAGAAACTTTGTTGCTTTTATGTAATATATTAATTACAAATGTATCCTTGCTATGTCATGGCTCAATATCTTTATCCGAGAGATTAATGGAAGAAAGTACCACAGTTTCTACACCACGAGATTAATAGATTTTATATAGATTTTTTTTTTTATGTATTTCATCATGTATGTTTATCCTGCATTTATCCTGTATTTTATTAATAAGGATTTTATTTCGAAAATTGAAAAGCACAGATTCATTTGAATTTAGAATCTGCGAAATCGGATGACATTCTTTTATCCATGTGCTGTTGACATTTAGAACTTATGAAGTAATTACGCCAAGAATTATCTTGCACCACATATATTTCGGAATAGCAAGTATTTATGCAAGTTGTACAACATGATTTTAGCAGATAAGAAATAAGAATTCGTTGATTCATTTTATTTAATCAAACGAAATATATATCGATAATAATAAGATACAAGAATAAAATAATTTTTTACGGTAGAGTTGCAAGGGAGAGAACGTATGGCCCCTAGACCATTTTATGTACGCCCCTATACTTTGGCTCTACCAGGTAAAAAACTATTTATTACTATTGTTATAATCTATTATTTCGTTAGAATTGTAGTTGTAACCATCACTACTCATGATTTTATTTGTTTCTTTAGTTTTTAACGCAATCCAATCCTTTATCGCGCCTATGGTTCTGACATCGGGTTTCGTTGTTTCATTATAAAAACTTTCAATAGCCTTGAATCTGATAACTTTTATTTTTGTTTGTTTTTTTAGATCTCTTATAACTTCGTTAATCATATCTTATTTAGTATGATTGTTTTCTTCCATAGTTTCATTGAAAAGGTTCTTAAAATTTTGCACAATTTCAGAATTTGAAGACGATGATCGATTCGAAGCTGGAACGGATAAATACAAAATGGTTAGCCTGGATCATTGACATGAAAGGCTTAAAAAAAAAAAAAAACGCTCACTTTGAGAACTATTTGTCAATTCACTTGAAGCATCTCCCGAAATTTGTTTTTGTTGCATCTTTTCGTATAGCCAATTGAATTTTTTCAGTAAGATCATCAAATTTTTGATTAACGTCTTCGGATAGAAGTTTCTGCGCATCTTTTAGTGAAGTAAGAGTGATATCGGTTTCCCATTTTAAATTATACAGAGCAAAGCATGCAATTACAATGATTAGGTAAACTGGGAATTTTCCTTCGATAATCCACAATACGATGACAATCAAGATTGGTATAAAAATGAAATAATTTTCTGATGGCGTTTGTTTGAAATATTTGTATCCATCTGTAGGGATTAATGTGAGCGCATAAACTTATTAAAAAGGATACCCAATAAAAAAAAACAATCGATATATTAATATAAGTCAGAGACCACTTACTTTGGTATAATAAACCTTTGATTTAACAAATATATGACTAGTTTTTTAAAGAAAATTTTGATGTAGTTTTGATTAATTTATGACGCTTTATTAATTTATTTATTTTTTGATTGATTTAACAGATTTTTATTACTTTGCAGTAACTTTGTGGGTATATTTATTCGAATGTTATAGTTATGAAGTAGAAAAATTATGCGAATTCGAGCTGTTTTTATATATACGTATTTCAGAATCTCTCTGGAGTTGATTGTCGATTTGCTATGGGCACACGCTATTAAAGTTATCAACAATCATTGGTTTTTTCGAATTTCACACTTGGTTCATTAAAAATTTATATCAGTCAGACAAGATTTCACGTTTACTGATTTTACTATATGATCAACATAGCACGTTTTCCGTACAACAGACTTTGAAGGAAGAATTGAATACAAGATTATTAATAAACAATTTTTATGCTT